CCTATCCTATCCTATCCTATCCTATCCTATCCTATCCTATCCTATCCAAATACATGTAAATATACATGTATTTGCCTAAAATACATGTACATTTAAACTTATATTTGTGTTTGTACATCTAATGTGCTTTATTAGTGCTGTATATCAAGTGATTGCATGACCTCTGTAGATGCCATATGGGTAATCCTGGACTCACAACCACAACTGAATCCAACATTTCTGTTGCTAAGGCGCTGTTGGTGGAAATGTCCTTGGTGGTTCCTTGATGAAGCTGTTGTTTACTATTTGATTGTTTGTCTGACTTGGTCTAGTTACTCTTGGTGTTAATCACCTGGGTCATTGAGCATGATCCACTCAGAGTCATTGACTTTAGTTCAGCATTCAACACCATCATTCCAGTAAAAAAATATTTACAGACCCCTCGCATCCTGGACATAAACTGTTTCAACTCCTACCCTTAAAACGACGCTATAGAGCACTGCACACCAGAACAACTAGACACAAGAACAGCTTTTTCCAAAACGCCATCACTCTGCTAAACAAATAATCCCCTCAACACTGTCGAACTAGTTACTAAGTCTGCACTACTATTAATCTTCTTATTGTTCCCACCACCCATCTCCTTCCACTTATGACTACATGACTGTAACCTTGTTGCTGGTATCCTTAAGATGTATATTGACTGTTTCCCTATGACTATCATTAAGTGTTGTACCTTATGATTCTTGACGAATGTATCTTGCCTTTTATGTACACTGAGAGCGTATGCACCAAAGACAAGTTCCTTGTGTGTCCAATCACACTTGGCCAATAAAGAATTCTATTCTATTCTATTGACAGAGATGGGTGGCCATAGAAATCGAATAAATAAAGAAATAATTAATCCCTGCTTATCTGGATGTTGATTAATACTAGATCAACAATAAAAGACCAACAATCAGGCAGTAGACAAGACCCCCATCAAGGAACTACCAATGTCAGATCAAGCCACTTCTATGTGAACTGAAAGCAAACCTCACTCCGTTCTAGCACTGATGAGGTTACCTAGCTGAATAATGAAATATCTGCAAGGAAACCACCTAAGCTCAGAGGGCATCGAGGGCTCCACAAGATAAACAGTACCCATATGATTCAGTTTGAGGTGTGCAAAACATTCTGAGGCTCCAGCGCCAACCCATAAGCGGTTTTCCTCAAGGTGGGAGAAGCTGTGTCAGAATGGCCCATACCACCAGCTACAGTCATCTCATTCGTGGTGTTTCTGCCTCTTTGGCAAATTGGCTCATACCCACAAGGTTCCTGAAAGTAAGTGGTATCTGTATGACGATCCAAAGCCAGTTTGGTGTAAGCCGTGTCTCCGCGGGAGAAGTCAGAGGTGAAATACCACATCCTGCCGTAGATAGTTTCTCTAGAGGAGGAGAGAAAAGAAAATGAACAAGGAGGCAGAGAAACAGAGAGAAAACCAACACTGAGTTTAACAGATTACAGATGAACAGAGTTGGAAGGGACCTTGTAGGTCTGTGATGGCGAACTTATGGCGCACGTGCTACAGGTGGCACACGCAGCCATATCTGTGGGCACATGAGCGTTGCCCTAGCTCAGCTCCAGCACACATGCGTGCGCCAGCCAGCTAATTTTTGGTCCCACCGGAAGTCGGGAAACAGGCCGTTTCCGGCCTCCGGAGGGCCTCCAGAGGGGTGGGGAAGGCTGTTTTCGCCCTCCCCAGGCTCCAAGAAAGCCTCTGGAGCCTGGGGAAGGCAAAAAATGGGCCTACCAAGCCCATCGTGCTATCACATGCCCAAAGCAGGGTGGGGTCATGCGTACATGCCGGGGGGGGGGGGGGGGCGGGGCACATTGAATTATGGGTGTGGGCATGCACACCTGCGACCCCCACTTTTGGCACGCGATGGCAAAAAGGTTAGCCATCACTGTTCTAGGTCATCTAGTCCAACCCCCCAACCAAGCAGGAGACCCGACATCATTTCTGACAGATGGCAGTCCAGTCTCTTCTTGAATGCTTCCAGTGATGAAGCTCCCACAACTTCCAAAGGCAACTTCTGTTCCATGGGTTGATTGTTCTCACTGTCAGAAAATGTCTCCTTATTTCCAGGTTGAATCTCTCCTTGATCAGTTTCCATCCATTATTCCTTGTCTGGCCTTCAGGTGCTTTGGAAAATAGGTTGACCCTCCTCCTCTCTGGGACAGCCCCTCAAATATTGGAATCCTGCTATCATGTCTCCCCTGGTCCTTCTCTTCACTAGACTAGCCATGCCCAGTTCCTGCAACCGTTTGTCATATGTTTTAGCCTCCAGTCCCCTAATCATTCTGGTTGCTCTTCTCTGCACTTTTTCTAGAATCTCAACATTTTTTTTATAGTGTGGGGGCCAAAAGTGGATGCAGGATTCTAGGTGTGGTCTTACTAAGGCTTTATAGAGTGGTGTTAGTACCTCCCTTGAGCTTGATTGTATCCATCTGTTAATGCAATTTAGGATTGCACTGGCTTTTTTGGCTGCCGCTGCACACTATTAGCTCATATTTAACTGGTTGCCCACTAAGACTCCAAGATCCTTCTCACAGTTCCTGCTATTAAGCCTGGTTTCACCCAGACTATATACTATATGTACTTTTGGTTTTTCTTGCCTAAATGTAAGACTTTACTTTTCTCTACACTGAATTTCATTTTGTTGGATAGGGCCCATTGTTCAAGTCCGTCAAGATCCATCTGGACATCAACTATTCCTACAAAGTGTGGATCTTCTGGATAAAATCGAAAAAATAATTGTCCGTGACACTATTACAGTTTACAATTCCCAGTAACATCTGGAAAGGTGGAACTTTTGCTTGTTGGTCCAGGAATGATTCCAGCTGTTTCAATCCTTCAGGGTGGGGTAATTCACTACAGGTGGTCCTTGACTTACACTTAGTGACCGTTCAAAGTTACAACTGGAAAAAGTGACTTATGACAATTTTTCACACTTAGGACCGTTGCAGCATCCCCATAGTCACGTGTTCAAAATTCAGATGCTTGGCAACTGACTCATATTTATGACGGTTGCAGTGTCCTGGGATCATGTGATCACCTTTGCGACTTTCTTATAAACAAAGTCAATGGGGAACTCAGATTCACTTTAACAACTGCAGTGATTTACTTAACAGCTGCAGCAAGAAAGATTGTAAAACGAAGCAAATTCACTTAACAAACATCTCACTTAGCAACAGAAGTGCTAGACTCAATTATGGTCTTAAGTCAAGGATTGCCTGTACTGACTGAATTAAAGATAAGTTCGATGAATATCTTTAATTGTGTTTATCAACGATCAGGGGTTCTTGTCACTGTTCTGAATGGCAAGTTACACACCCACAATGCAACACCAGACCTTAAAACTGCTTCTTGACCAATGGAATTGGGACAATAGATTGAGATAGCTTGTTGTTATTATCCTTATTATGCAGAGATTTACCGTATTTTTTGGACTATAAGACACACCGGAGTATAAGACGCACCTTAATTTTTGGGGAGGAAAATAAGAAAAAAGCTGATTGGCAGGTGGATCGGCCTCCCGGAATACCCCCAACCAGCTGTTCCCAGAGGTGAATTTTAGCAACAGGTTCGTTGGTTGTGAGCTCTGCGCCTTGCTTTTTTTTCAGCCTCTGAAACCTTTCTTTCAGAGGCTTTTTTTCTGAAGCTCTGTTTCGGAGGCTTTTTTTTCTGACGCTTCATTTCAGAGGCTTTTTTTCTGAAGCTCTGTTTTGGAGGCTTTTTTTCTGAAGCTCTGTTTCAGATGATTTTTTTCTGAAGCTCCGTTTCAGAGGCTTTTTTCTGAAGCTCCTTTCGTTTCAGAGACTTTTTTTTCTGAAGCTTCGTTTCTGATGCTTTTTTCAGCCTCTGAAATCTCTGTTTGAGAGGCTGGGCAGGGCTACATTCAGAGTATAAGACGCACCCTCTTTTTTGGGGGGAAAAAGGTGCGTCTTATACTCTGAAAAATATGGTAATTCATTGCTCTTTAAATGCTTTTTTTTTAAAAAAAACTAATCCTCTACATGTAAATTGTTTGCAAATTAGAGTCATCGTTCATTCAAATGCAAGGGGCAATTCTTTTTTTTTTAAATCAGGTGTAAGCTCTACATCTCATAGAACTACTGAAATCTGCTGGAATCTGCTGGAGTCGATTTAAGATCTTTGACAAGAAAACGGTCACAAACTTGGAGAAGCGAAACATTTGCATTCAATGCCAGCGCAATGCATTTTGGAAATTCCCAGTTGTTGTTTTTTTTTAAAAAGCCTCTTTCCAAATAATTTAGGCTAAGGGTTACCAATCTGGGCAGAGAAGGAGAAGGAAGGAAGGAAGGAAGGAAGGAAGGAAGGAAGGAAGGAAGGAAGGAAGGAAGAAAGGAAGGAGCAAGGAACCATTGCAAAATTCCTTTTTCTTCAGACGCCTGGTCAGTTCAAGGTCAGCCTGGCAATTTAATTTTAATTAGATGTGTGAGATGTGTTGCTTTGCCCTTTCCTCCCGAGCAGAGAAAACTGTTTTGATCTTCAGATCTCCCAGGACTGAGGCTGCCCTTTCGGTCTGCTCTGTCAAAACAGGAAATCAGGGCTTGCCCCAACCACTAAAACATTCCCACCCTGCTACAAAATCTTGCTTCTTTTCTCTTTAGCTCAAGATCTTTCACTGCCTTTCAGAAAAACAAGATTTTGCTAGAATCGGGCATTGCTAGCCTGCAAACGGTAGACTTTAATATCTTAGTAAAAAACCAAACAAACCTGCCAGGATATTTAAGCAGAGAAAGAAATAACATGGCTATAATTCAAGAAGAGACTCTAGAAGCAATTGATGGTACTATTGTACAAGGGACGTGGTGGCTCAGCGGCTACGACGCTGAGCTTGTCGATCAGAAAGGTCGGCGGTTCGGTGGTTCGAATCCCTAGCGCCGCGTAACAGGGTGAGCTCCCATTACTTGTCCCAGCTTCTGACAACCTAGCAGTTCGAAAGCAGGTAAAAAAGGCAAGTAGAAAAAATAGGGACCACCTTTGGTGGGAAGGTAACAGTGTTCCGTGCACCTTTGGCGTTGAGTCATACTGGCCACATGACCACGGAGACATCTTCGGACAGCGCTGGCTCTTCAGCTTTGAAACGGAGATGAGCACCGCCCTCTAGAGTCGGGAACGACTAGCACATATGTGCGAGGGGAACCTTTACCTTTACCTTTATAATTCAAGAAGAGACTCTGGAGGCAATTGATGGTATAGATATATTACAGGAGGCGATCTGCATAGGTGAAAATTCAGAAAGGGAAAAACATCTGTTTTCTAAAGACAACCTTTCCAAGATAGGACAACCAGGAAAAAAGGGTGCAGTAAAATTATCTTGGGGAGGAATGCTCATATTTCTGCTCAGCAAGTTCAAGCAAAGAATTAAAAAGTTCAGAGAAAAGCAACTAAGATGATCAAAGGCCTGGAGATTAAAGCATATGAAGAACGGCTGCAGGTTTTGGGTCTGGCTAGTCTAAAGAAAAGAAGAATTAGGGGGTAACATGATAGCAGTATTCCAATATTTGAGGGGCTCCCACAAAAAAGTGGGGGTCAAATTATTTTCCAAAGCATCAGAGGGCAGGACGAGAAACGATGGTTGGAAACTAATCAAAGAGAGAAGCAACCTGGAATTAAGGAGAAACTTCCTAACAGTGAGGACAATTAACCAGTGGAACAGCTGGCCTTCAGAAATCGTGGGCGCTCCATCATCGGATGTTTTTAAGAAAAGATTGGACAGTCACTTGTGTGAAATGGTATAGGATCTCCTGCTTGAACAGGGGGCTGGACCAGAAGACCTCCAAGATCCCTTCCAGCTCTGTTCTGATTGAATTATGTTAGTAAATCAAGGACTACCCTTATTAGGGGACTAACTCACAACCCAATGTGCTTGACCTGCATGTGAACCCAAGTATTACATGTATCAACATTTAATACTTTAATCCCATTTTAATCCAAGGGGAAATGTCTCAAAAAGAAAAGAAAAGGGACAAAACGAAGGGAAAGGTGTTAGGAAATGATAATTACCTAACTTGTTGGGTTGGCAATATATAAAACCTCAATATAGCTTTAAGACTGTATTGCTGTATTGCATCATACTGCGTTCTGATTGGTTAGCTCTGTAGCCAATGTCCTTAAGAGGGAGTTTGAAACACGGTTTGTTTCTCTCTGCTGATCTTTGCTGAACATTACTATTCGTTACTACTTTTTGCTGTGTTCGCTACTGTTTGCAACTGTTTATTGTGTATGACTACAACGACTGGTAAGAAGACTTTGTTATTGGAATATCTCTGGACTATTGTTTTACTATCTACTGCTTTATCTGTGTATGACCTGGACTGAGTATTGGACTGTGCCTTATTACTATTTCCTAAAAGTAAACACAACTCAGTGTATCTGTGTGTTGCTCTCAATTGCTCTCAGTCGCTTTCATGTGCACACCCTTGCTACTCAAGGGTTGCTCTGTGAATTCCTCAACAAAAGGCTTTCTCCGAGGTTCTGTAATTACCTGATCAAACTAATCCTCTCTGCTATGACCTCCGTGTCTTCTTTGGTTGGGGGAACGTTTTCCACGAATGCAATGCCGTACAGCAGGAAGTTCTGCAGGAATTCTCTCAGCCCCTCATTGGTTTCCAAGAAACTATGGTAGTTGACCGAAGGCACTTGAGCTTCCTGGTAAATTTCGGCATTCCACAGGATCCGGGGTTGCATGACCTGATGCTTCTGTCCCTCGTAGCTGTTCATCAGCAGCCATTCCAGACCATACTTGGTCACGTGGCCATCTGGCCCTGGTGGCGATAGGGAGACAGACAGGTTTGAAAGCGAAAATTTTGCAGTCTACATTTACCGTATTTTTCAGAGTATAAGACACACCTTAGTTTTTGGGGAGGAAAATAAAAAAGCTGATTGGCGGGTGGATCGGCCTCCCGGAATACCCCCAATCAGCTGTTCCTAGAGGTGAATCTTAGCAAAAGGTTCCTTGGTTGTGAGCTCTGTGCCTTGCTTTTTCTTTTTTCTTTTTTCTTTTTTTTGCTTTTTTTGCATTCTGCCTCTGAAACTCTGTTTCAGAAAAAGCTTTTTTTCCTGCCTCTGAAAGCCTCTGAAACAGAGCTTCAGAAAGAAAGCCTCTGAAGCTCTGTTTGGGGGCTTCTTTTCTGAAGCTTCATTTCTGATGTTTTTTTCAGCCTCTGAAACCTCCGTTTGAGAAGCTGGGCCGGGCTACATTCGGAGTATAAGACGCACCCAGATTTTCATCCTCTTCTTTGGGGGAAAAAGGTGCATCTTATACTCCAAAAAATACGGTAATAAAGATATTGGTCTATAATTTTTTATTTGTCAGATCAATCAATCGGTTTATGACAGTCTTTATTACAGTGCAAAAATGGAGCTCGGGGGGGGGGGAGGCGCATGCAAGCTCTGTTTTGGATGGCAGAGGGGGGCAGGAGGCCATTGTGGCCAAAAACGGAGGACGGGAGAGCTGCATGCGGCTCCCCCTGGCTCCGTTTTCGCTGGCAGAGAGCTGCAGGAGGCCCTCCCGGCTGAAAATGGAGCCCAGGAGGGCCGCACATGCCCCCCCTCCCCCGAGCCCTGTTTTCAGTGGCAGGGTTCTAGCAAAACAAACTACTAGCAAACTATTGGCCACCCTGGCCAGGCCCACCCAAGCCCCCGAGGTCGAAGACAACCCTGATGCAGCCCTCAATGAAATTGAGTTTGACACCCCTGCACTAAGCTCTCAAGTGGCTTGGTTTTGCTTCTTGTAAACTAGGTTAGCACACTTTAAAGGTAAAGGTTCCCCTGGCACATATGTGCTAGTCATTCCTGACTCTAGGGGGCAGTGCTCATCTCCGTTTCAAAGCTGGAAAGCCAGCGCTGTCCGAAGACATCTCCGTGGTCATGTGGCCGGCATGAGTCAACGCCAAAGGCGCATGGAAAGCTATTACCGTTCCACCAAAGGTGGTCCCTATTTTTCTACTTGCATTTTTTTACGTGCTTTCGAATTGCTAGGAGTTGGGATAAGTAACGGGAGCTAACCCCATTACTTGGCACTACGGATTGAACCGCTGAACTGCCAACCTTTTGATCGAGAAGCTCAGCATCTTTAGCCACTGAGCCACTGCGTCCCTAGCGCACTTTGGGATTGTTAAAAAACCCCCACTACAGTTAAGACAAGCTATGGATTAGCACACAGCGTAAACCCAGCCAAAAATTCTGTGGGTCATTTCTTCCAAGGGTAAGTATTTGTTAGTGACAGACAGGTAGTCCTCGAGTTATGACCACCACCGAGCCCAACATTGCTAAGTGAAACATTGTTAATGGAGCTTCGCTCCCTTTGTTGACTTTCCATGCCACCGTTGTTAAGCAAATCACTGCATTTGTTACGTTGGTAACACGGTTGTTAAGTGAATCTGGATTCCCCATTGACGCTGCTTGTCAGAAGGTCGCAAAAACAGATTACATGACTCCAGGACTTGAACAGAGTATCTGGCAAATATATTAAATTGGTAGACAACCTCTGGCTCTTCTGTTAACCATGACCTACAATACCCAGCATCTTTTAACATTGGACAGGATTCCTATCCTAAGGATGCTGGGAATTGTAGTTCAACCACATTTGAAATGTCACAAATATTTATGTTTGCTATACAAGAAAAAAAAAATCAGAAAAGTACTGTTGAACTAAGAATAGGTAATTCCTGCAGTAAGCTTTGTCGTGAATGGCCTTCAAAAATGGGCAGGATGAGGTCTCAGCTCTTTACCTGGGAGATGGGGGTTTAGTGGGTGCAATGTGTCCCTGGCCTGAACTTCTCCAAAATCCTCCAAAACAACTAAAATGCTTAGCCCTGTCCAATCAGGAGCTCTGAGATTGCAGAAGATCTGTTTTGTGGGTTCTGTGTGACCCTAAACAAACTACTGAGTTCAGGGTCAGTTGAATGACCAAAGAAGGAAGGAAAGAATCCATGGGAACAGAAGAATTCCTTCTCTAAATTATTCACCAACTAGAATATTATTTTCCCTCCACTTTCATCTTGAACAAAATCTCCAAGCACATTTGAATGTTCCAACAGCTTTACTTTTACTATAAACACAGTCAGACACAGAGAGAGAGAGGAGAGAGAGAGAGAAAAGAGAGAGGAGAGAGAGAGGAGGAGAGAGAGAAGAGAGAAGAGGGAGAGGAGGAGAGAGAGAAGAGAGGAGAGGGAGATGAGAAAGAGAGAGAAGAGAGAGGGAGAGAGAGAGGAGGGGAGAGAGGGAGAAAAGAGAGAGGGGGAGAGGGAGGGAGAGGGAGAGAAAGAGAGGAGAGAGAGGGAAGAGGGTGTGAGAGAGAGAGAGGAAAGGAGAGAAGAGAGGAGAGTGAGAAAAGAGGGAGGAGAGGGAGAGGGAGAGAGAGAAGAGAGGAGAGAGAGAAAAGAGGGAGGAGAGGGAGAGGCAGGGAGGAAGAGGGAAAGAGACGAGAGGGAGGGAGTGTGAGAGAGGAGGAGACAGAGAAGAGAGGAGAGGGAGACGAGAAAGAGCGGAGAGAGAGAGAGAGAGAGAGGAGAAACAGAGTAAAGAGAGAGGAGAGAGAGAGGAGAGGGAGACAGACATTTCCATCCCCATTTCAGAAAGAAGCAATCTCCAGAACCATCTCCCACTCTGCCTTTGGAAAACACAAAACTCCAGAAACTCACAGGTGAGAAAGAGAGTGGTCTCATCGACTCGTACCGCCTGGGGCTTGATCGTGAGATCCACACTGGCCGTATCCAGACTGCGTTGGTTGGTCTTGGTGTTGTAGCAAGATGGCGAGCGGCAGTGGTCACGCAGCCAAAAGTAATCGAAGCGCATCAGAGTGTCCCTGTATTTCAGCTCTAGGAAAAGAAGATAAAACAAGACCCTTCCCTTGGCTAAAACGAATGACTTTCTGTTGAACTATGAGCAACTTGCAGAATACACATAGAAAAAAAATGAGATATACAAACATGACCACCATAGAAAAAGTGAGAGATACAAAAATTAACCCCATGTCACTTAATACTTAGTTGGGTAACTTTGGCATGAATTACGGCCTTACAACGTCTTCCCATGGAGTGAACCAAGTCTTTGAGTTCTGCAGCTGTTCTAAGGTGAAACCAAGATTGAATGATGGCTTCTATTAACTGGGTTTTATTGCTGGATCGCTTCTGACTAACAAGTTTCTTTAGTTGGCTCCATAAATTTTCAACTGGGTTAAGGTCTGGGCTATTCCCAGGCCATTCCAGCAGTGGAATAGGATTATCTTGAAACTCCAAAAAAAAGTGGTGTTATTAGCCATCAAACCTCAAAAATACACTTTTCCCAAGAGGTTTCCACAATTTTGGCCACTACCGTATAAGCACTGTTGGACAGCCAATTTGAAATAGCTATCAAAGGTCTTGGATTAGAAGCCAAAAGACCAAGACTGATGGCCCTGCCTTAGGGACAAAGTCCAGTTGCGTGACTCTGGTCCGGTCCCTCCCTCTCAGCCCTGCAAAGGAGAAGGCAAGGGCGAACCAACTTCTGAATTCCTTGCCAAGAAAACTGCAGGGATGTTATCCAAGCAGTGCCAGGAGTCCAGGCAAATTTGAAGGCATTAAAAACAACAACACCACCCTATTAAAACCAGAATTAAAACACTATGAAAACATGCTAGAATTGGTTAAATAATTACTTAGTCAATGAAAACCTGCTTGGGCAGCAATTGCGTGATTAAATAAAAAAATGTTTTTGCCTGCTCTGAAAGGCTAACAGGCAGGAGAGCTGGTCTAATCCTGTCCTTGATGGGAAGATCCTTCAGAAACCCTGAAAAAAACAGTGGAGCTGCTCTGTGTGTATAACTTGTGACCCAGCCTAATGTCTTGTGTTAATTTCTTTCGGAAGATTCCCCATTCTACTGAACAAGTTGCTTAAGCATGTAGCTCAGGGGTCAGCAACCTGCAGCTCTGGAGCCGCGTGTGGCTCTTTCATCCCTCTGCTGCGGCTCCCTGTCACTCAAAATATGCATCACAACCACCAATGTGTGACACCTCCTAGCACACAATTTATTGAGCTTTTCAACCCCCAGTAGGCCAACCATGGATAAATCCAAGAAAAGAAAAGTTTCAGAAGAAAACAGAACGTTTAATTCAACTACATTTGCTAGTTTTGTGGCCGCTCAAGAAATAGTCAGGCACGGGAAGGGTTCTGTGGCTCTCGGTGTTTTCTTTTCTGTGGGAAACGGATCCAAATGGCTCTTTGAGTGTTTAAGGTTGCAGACCCCTGATTTAGCTGTAACATAAGTGTGGGTATTTATGAAGCCAAGATAGTATCATTTGCATGAAAGGAATGTAATGAGAAAATTTGGAGAGAAGGTTTGCAGGGCCTTCCTTCCTTCCTTCCTTCCTTCCTTCCTTCCTTCCTTCCTTCCTTCCTGCCTGCCTGCCTGCCTGCCTGCCTGCCTCCCTCCCTCCCAATAGCACTTAGACTTATATACCGCTTCATAGTGCTTTATAGCCAGGGGTGGGCTTCAAAAATTTTAGCAAGGGGTTCTCTGCCCAGTTGCTGGGTGGGCGTGGCCATAGTGGGTGTGGCCTAGTCAGCCTCCTGCACTATGGCGGGGGGGGGGGGGCTTTTTACCCTCCCTGAGCTCTGGTGGGTTTCCTTGAGCCTCCGGGAGGGTAAAAACAGTCTCCCCAGGCTCCAGAGGCTCGATGGAGGCCAGAAACGGGCCCCTTTCTGGCCTTCCCAAACTTCCGGTAGACCTGTTTTTCACCCTCCCCGAACCTATGCATGCGCCATGCACTTACCTGCATCCAAAGGGAACTCCTGGGAGAGGAGGGGAGGGGTAGGAGGGGCCTGTCAGGAGTGGGATTTGGGGGTTCTCTGAACTGCACACAATCTTAGCTAGAGGTTCTCCTGAACCCCTGCGAACCCCCAGCAGCCCACCCCTGTTTACAGCCCTCTCTAAGCGGTTTACAGAGTCAGCCTCTTGCCCCCAACAATCTGGGTCCTCATTTTACCGACCTCGGAAGGATGGAAGGCTGAGTCAACCGTGAGCCTGGTGAGATTCGATCTGCCAAACTGTTGGCAGCCAGCAGTCAGCAGAAGTTGCCTGCAGTACTGCACTTTAACCACTGTGCCATCGCAGCTTCCTTCCTTCCTTCCTTCCTTCTCCCCTCCCCTGATAATGCTGGAATGCACCAGAGGATGGACTGTGAGCATGGAATAATGTTCAGGAGTAGGACAAAGAATACTAGAAAGGAGAAGAACGTAGGCCTTTAGAAACGAGCATCACCAAGCAACTGGCATCTAGAGCAGGAACTCCTCCCCTCCCCCAAAGATGCCTAGAGGTGCTCCTATCTACCTCCATCGCTTTTGAACCCCCTTCCCTTCAACATCCAGTTCTTACCTAGATGACCATCTTTTAACTGCCAGGCACAGTCGGATGGGGTGGGGACCGTGTGATGCCAATGAGTCGAAGCTGGAAGGATCCTGAAACCTTTCTTCAGTTGGTGGTGGAAGCTGCAGAGCACCTGCCTCAGCTGACAGCCCCACATCCTGGAGAAGGGAGGCCCCAAAAGAGAAAACAGTCACTGACGCCTAGAATCAACTGAAAACGCAAAGCAACTGTTCAGTGTTCCAAATAACACATCCAAAGAAATCAGAACTCCGAGGTAGGCAGGTCCCTCAATGAACACATTTATTGGCTACTACATCATATCGGCACAGTTAGTGAAAACCGACTCTGAAGTTTCCCGCGCGAATAGCATAATTAAAAGAGTAACTGTTTCCCTCCCCAATTGTCCCAAGTCACATTGTCCAATTAAAATAGTCGGCGGGCTCCTTGGTCACTCCTCTCCTCCTTCAACTGCCGCCTGTTGGGACGACCTTGGTTCCCATGGGAAAGCTCATTGTTGTGTCTGCAGACAGTCTATATATCCCCCCCCCCATCCATCTCCCCTTTAGAGTGTGTGGCAACTATGAAGCAACTATGAAGCAGCAAAAGATGGCTTCAGCCGGGCTCGATTCAGAGTTGACAGCAACTCTACAATCTGAGTTTAGCCCTGGAGGGTCAATGGAAGAGCAGAATGCGGGTCTTTATAACCAATGTTTCAGGGTTCCAACAGATGCCCTAATTAAAACATGAGTCTCGAGCTAAGCTTCAAAAGAAATTCAGTTATTTATTAGGAGCTTCATGTCAGCACGTTCCCAAGTGAAGCCAACTCTGACCTACATAGTTAAACGCTCCAATTATGACTCTGTTTCCCCCCTCCCTGAGGGTGTGTCATCAATCACATTTGCCAATGGAGTTGTAGAGGTCACTCCCCTCGGCTGCTGTAGGTAACCCTGGGATACAGCCTTGAGAGAGATAAGCGTGGAACGTGCATCTGTCTTTGGCTGCTGTGCCATTTTGCAGGTTTCCCATCCCTCCTGGCCTATGGCAACTCGAGAACAGACCAGTTTGCGAGTTGACACAAAGATTGCTACCCAATTTTGTAGCAGTAGCAAGCTAATGAGATGGGGACTCTGAAAAAAACCAAACTTGAATTAAAGCGAGAGCATCTTTGAAGCATCCAACCCACCCCTAAAGCACCAAAGAATAGCAGGGAGCACATCTGCCTTCTTCCAGATGTAGACAAACCTACAAGAGACGGTCTCAAACAAAAGAGCATGTCAGGTTTCTAAGTAATACGTCCCATTCAATAAGAACTCCGAGGCAGGCAAATTCCTCAAAGAACATTTTACTGGGACATATCAAATTGGCACATTCCTGGTGAAAAACCAGAAAAATTGCCGGTTTTACACCCAATTAAAAGTAAAACTTTGTCACTTCCCCTCCCCACAGAGTCTCCAAGTCTCATAGTCCAATTAGCATACAGTCCAGTTGCTAGGTAACCTCAGTCCCCACCTTTTGAGCACCTGCACCAACGTCCTTGATTCCCAGGGAAAAGAATTTTATTTAGGCTACAACACCGCAGCTGTCTCTACACCCCCACCTCCCTGGCCCCTTCGCTCCAGGCTGCGTCGGCCCTGAAGCCGTGAAGAAGAAAAGAATCTCCCTAGAGAAAAAGTACCAAAAAGAAAATGGCCACCGTTCGGCCAGGTTCAGAGTTGATTCATCTCACAGAGGGTGCTGTTGCGGGGTAAAATAGGAGGAGGAAGGAGTATTAGGTATGTTTGCTACCTTAAAGAATGAATGAATGAATGAATGAATGAATGAATGAGTGAGTGAATAAGGTTTTTTTTTTAACCTTACAGCTCATCAGGAAAGCTGGGAAACTTTAAATGAATGAATGAATGGTGTCTGAAGACAGTCTATATATACCCCCCCCCCCATCCACCTCCCCCTTAGAGTGTGTGGCAACTATGAAGCAACTATGAAGCAGCAAAAGATGGCTTCATCCGGGCTCAATTCAGAGTTGACAGCAACTCTGCAATCTGAGTTTAGCCCTGGAGGGTCAATGGAAGAGCAGAATGCGGGTCTTTATAACCAATGTTTCAGGGTTCCAACAGATGCCCTAATTAAAACATGAGTCGCGAGCTAAGCTTCAAAAGAAATTCAGTTATTTATTAGGAGCTTCATGTCGGCATGTTCCCAAGTGAAGCCAACTCTGACCTACGTAGTTAAACGCTCCAATTATGACTCTGTTTCCCCCTCCCTGAGGGTGTGTCATCAATCACATTTGCCAATGGAGTTGTAGAGGTCACTCCCCTCGGCTGCTGTAGGTAACCCTGGGATACAGCCTTGAGAGAGATAAGCGTGGAATGTGCATCTTTGGCTTTGGCTGCTGTGCCATTTCGCAGGTTTCCCATCCCTCCTGGCCTATGGCAACTCGAGAGCAGGCCAGGGATGCTTTGCGAGTTGACACAAAGATTGCTACCCAATTTTGTAGCAGTAGCAAGCTAATGAGATGGGGACTCTGAAAAAAAACCAAACTTGAATTAAAGCGAGAGCATCTTTGAAGCATCCCACCCATCCCCAAAGCACCAAAGAACAGCAGGGAGCACATCTGCCTTCTTCCACATGTAGACAAACCTGCAAGAGACGGTCTCAAACAGAAGAGCATGTCAGGTTTCTAAGTAATACGTCCCATTCAATAAGAACTCCGAGGCAGGCAAATTCCTCAAAGAACATTTTACTGGGACATATCAAATTGGCACATTCCTGGTGAAAAACCAGAAAAATTGCCGCTTTTACACCCAATTAAAAGTAACTTTGTCACTTCCCCTCCCCACAGAGTCTCCAAGTCCCATAGTCCAATCAGCATACAGTCCAGTTGCTAGGTAACCTCAGTCCCCACCTTTTGAGCACCTGCCCCAACGTCCTTGATTCCCGGGGGGAAAAGAATTTTATTTAGGCTACAACACCGCAGCTGTCTCTACACCCCCACCTCCCTGGCCCCTTCGCTCCAGGCTGCGTCGGCCCTGAAGCCGTGAAGAAGAAAAGAATCTCCCTAGAGAAAAAGTACCAAAAAGAAAATGGCCACCGTTCGGCCAGGTTCAGAGTTGATTCATCTCACAGAGGGTGCTGTTGCGGGGTAAAATAGGAGGAGGAAGGAGTATTAGGTATGTTTGCTACCTTAAAGAATGAATGAATGAATGAATGAATGAATGAGTGAGTGAATAAGGTTTTTTTTTTAACCTTACAGCTCATCAGGAAAGCTGGGAAACTTTAAATGAATGAATGAATGAATGGATGGATGGATGGATGGATGAATAAATAAATAAATAGGCTTTTTTTTTTTTAAGCCCTACAGCTCATCAGGAAAGCTGGGAAACTTTTTTTTTTTAATTGAAAAGTTTTATAAAAGATACAAACATTTTCTCCACCCCTCCCACCCCTCCACCTTCACCCCATCACCCCCCCTTGCCCACCCACTCACCCTTTCCCCCTCCCCCTTCCCCCCACCCCCTCCCTAGACTTCCCAGAACAAGCACAGGGTATAGCATAGGAAAGCTGGGAAACTTTAAATGAATGAATGAATGGATGGATGGATGGATGGATGAATAAATAAATAAATAGGCTTTTTTTTTTAACCCTACAGCTCATCAGGAAAGCTGGGAAACTTTAAATGAATGAATGAATGGATGGATGGATGGATGGATGGATGAATAAATAAATAAATAGGCTTTTTTTTTTTTTAAGCCCTACAGCTCATCAGGAAAGCTGGGAAACTTTATAGGAAACTCACTTGTAGGGAAGATGGGTAGCATAAAAAATAATAATAATAAAAAAATGTGTTAAAATAAATAAACTGTCACCAATGCCAGCTCTGTTGATCCTAAGAGTATAGTTACAGTAATGGTCAAAATTGTGGAAACCTTTTGGGAAAATGGTATTTTCTAAAACTAGCTAATAACACCACTTTTTTTTGGAGTAGTAGTATCATAAAACGATATATCAATGGAAAGATCATGTAATCATGAACGTAATGCAATAACCTTTATGAACGGCTTGCTATTAGAATAGCAGTTTCAGTACAAAGAAGAAAAGTGAAACACGTAGAAAAAGTGAGATATACAAAAATGATCACCATGTCTGTTAATACTTAGTTGGGTAACCTTTAGCATGAATTATGGCCTTACAACATCTTCCCATGGAGTGAACCAAGTCTTTCAGTTCTGCAGCTGTTATAATGTTATAATAACAAGTTTGAAGGATTGCTTCTATTAACTGGGTTTTATTGCTGGGTCGCTTCTGATTAACTGATTAAGTTTCTTTAGTTGGCTCCATAGATTTTCAATTGGGTGAAGGTCTGGGCTATTCCCAGGCCATTCCAGCAGTGGAATAGGATTATCTTGAAACCCCCCCCCCCAAGAGAGTGGTGTTATTAGCCATCAAACCTCAAAAATACACTTTTCCCAAAAGGTTTCCAAAATTTTGGCCACTACTGTAGCTCAGGGAGTCCCTGGTGCTCTCTGAGCTTGGCTGTTTGCTTGCAAGATGTTTCATTACCCAACCAGATAACATCTTCAGTGTTCAATCAGTGCTTATCAAACATCATGGTTTCATACAGATTTGAACACGGCGCTTCTCAGCATGCTTACGCACTATATCCGCTGCATTTTTCCAGATGTTTGACATGTAGAAACCCTTATTATCTGCCCCATAATTCTTCAAATTGGAGATGAAATAAGGAAAATGTAGCCATGTCTGCAGAAAAACACCTATGTTGTACCTCTGACGCCTCTTTATAGATTAAATCACAAACCGAAAGTCAGAGAAGTGGGTTTATACATGCATGTGTCATAATTAAGCATCAAATGAAGTATTTGAGGTTTATTTGATGTTGAAACTCTAGAAAGAATGCAGAGAAGAGCAACAAAGATGATTAGTGGATGGGAGGCTAAAATAAATGAAGAACAGTTGCAGGAATTGGGCAAAAGGTAAAGGTAAAGGTTCCCCTTGCACATATGTGCTAGTCGTTCCAGACTTTAGGGGGCGTTGCTCATCTCCGTTTCAAAGTCGAAGAGCCAGCGCTGTCCGAAGACGTCTCTGTGGTCATGTGGCCGGCATGACTCAACGCCAAAGGTGCACGGAACGCTGTTACCTTCCC